GTGTCCTTCCTGGACAACTTCAGCAGCGGGCGGCGCGGGGCCACCTCGGCCGAGGTCTTCCTGGCGGCGGGCTACGGGGTCCTGTTCCTCCACCGCGCTCGCTCTGCCTTCCCCTTTGCCCACCGCTTCCCTCCCCAGACCTGGCTGTCAGCGCTGCGGCCCACCAGCCCAGCCACTTCGGGCTTACTGAGCCTGGAGGTCGAGGAGAAGGCGCTCCCGGGCTTCGCGGCGGCTCTGAGGCGCTACCAGGAAGCGGCGGCCGCCGGCACCTTCCTGGCGATAGAGTTCACCACTTTGGCGGACTATTTGCATCTGCTGCAGGCTGCGGCCCAGGCGCTCAATCCGCTAGGTGCGTGCCTTAGGAGTCCATCGGTTCCCCGGAGGCGTGCCTTTCTCCCCAGACACCCCCTACCAGCGGTTCTCAACCTGTGGGTCGCGACCCCTTTGGAGGTTGAACGACCCTTTCACAAGGGTCGCCTAAGACCATCCTGCATATCAGATATTTACATTACGATTCATAACAGTAGCAACATTACAGTTGTGAAGTAGCAACGAAAATAATGTTATGGTTGGGTCACAACATGAGGAACTGTCTTTAAAGGGCCAGAAGGTTGAGAACCACTGCTTACACCCTCAGAACCCACAGGTCTCACAGCAGGGGAACCCGAGGTGAAAAGGACCTGATCCTATACACCTTTCCGATGTATTACACCCTCTGCTTCTCTTTGCAGGCCCCTCTGCGATGTTTTACCTGGCCGCGGCAGTGTCAGATTTCTATGTTCCTGTCTCTGAAATGCCTGAACACAAGATCCAGTCATCTGGGGGCCCACTGCAGGTGATGGGCGCTGCTCTTCCAGAAATCTGATCCCCTGTAATCAATCTTGGGTTAACCTCCTGATCTGGAGACGGCCTTTCTGCATTTCATACGAACTAGGCACTAGGGATACGGAAATGAGTAAGATACCGTTCTCCCTCAAGGACCTCACAATGTAGTGAGGGACCTGAACACAGACATAATTACAATACAGAGGGATAAGTGTTCTAGGAGAGGAACATACAGAGTGAAGTCAAAGCAGGAGGTGATTGAATCTTGGGAAGTCCGGGAAGGCTTTCTGGAGATAACTTGAACTGAGATTTAAAAGATGAGCAGAGGGTATACCAGTCAAAGTGGGGAAGGTCATTCCAGATAGAGTACACAACTGGAGTTTGGGGATGGGCAGTGATTATGAACTGAAGTTGGTCGATAAGGCCAGAGAGCAGGGAGAGTGGTGGGAATGGAGAGCAGAAGAAGCAGCTTAATTCATAGAAGACTTTCTATTCCTTTTTAAGGAGCTAGGACTTTTTATCCTGTGGAGCCAAGGGAAACATAAGTAGGAGAATGAGAGTGTTTTTGTTTGAGAATGTTATGGCATGAGTTTGAAAGGTGAATTAGAGAGAGAGGCAAGGGTTGATTAGATGGGGGCTATTGCTGCTTAAGGAGGCGGTATAGGGAGTGTAGTAGGGTGATTGAGATAGGAGGTAATCTGGCTTCTTGTAATCTGAGGGAGTTCTTAGTCATTTACTGGATGATACAAATAGAATTTAAATAGGAGAAACTCTACCTGTGGGGCACTTACTGACTTTGTAGGATAGTTCATTTGTTTCTTCAACAAATGTTTCTTTATTGAGTACCAACTATATGCCAGGCACTGTTGTAGGACCTGGAGGTAAAACGGGAAAGAAATATACTGTGTCTTTGTGTTGCTTATCCTCTGTAGAGGAGACAGTACTATGTTAGGTAGTGATAAATGCTAAGGAGAAAAAGTGGAGAACGGGGTGTATGATCCCTATCCCACTTTATAATTTTTTGAGGGGAAAACCTGAAAATTTGTGATGTCATGCTATTTAAATTATGGGAGCTTTAGTTTATCTTTTATTTTTTTAGTTCTATCTTGGAAGTGCACAAAACAACTCAACATTCTTTTGAGAAGGGATTGAGAATGGTCTAGTAGACGTTGTGATCAAATGAAAATAAAGAAAATCAGTTATAAGTGCTAAGATGTGACAATTTTTAAATGGAATAGCTATTCTGTCAGTGCAAGAAATATTTTAGGCTGAGGCTTAAAAACCCAACTTTATTTGAGCTTCTGCCAAAGTAACTTTTGCATGAGTAGATTATTTGTTTACATGGGGGTTTGGCTTAAACAATAAAGGGAGATGTTTGAGAAAGTGTAATGCTGTTCTGTGGGGTTCTATTAATGGCGAAGAGTATGGCAGAGTAGAACTGATTCATTATATATGGCTTGCCCATAGAATACGTATGAAGCTTTGAAATTAGGCATCCTTATGAACCCTACAGAGCCAAGGCTTTTAAGCTAAGCATTTCATATGCTTTGAAAAGTTTGACAATGAGAAGTCCCACTTAAACTGACATAGTCAAAAATCTGAGCCCCTGCTTCCTTAGTTTCCCATGAGATTGACCTGGTAGGTGGTGACCTTTGTTTGCTTATTAAGCTTTTCTTTTTCCAACACAGATAACAATGAAGATGGTGCCAAAAATGCTTTCTCCTTTGGTTAAAGACTGGGCTCCCAAAGCATTTATAATTTCCTTTAAGTTGGAGACTAATCCCTCTATCATAATTGACCGTGCACGGAATGCTTTGGAAATGTATCGACATCAAGTGGTGGTGGCTAATATCCTTGAGTCACAACGGTCCTTTGTGGTTATTATAACCAAAGACTCAGAAACTAAGTTATTGCTATCAGAGGAAGAAATAGAAAAAGGCATGGAAATAGAAGAGAAGATAGTGGATGATCTTCAGTCCCGACACACAGCTTTTATACAAGACAAAAATTGAAGGGTCAATAACTATAGGGTCAAGAATTGTTCAGTGGACCAGGGCTCTTACAGATGGTGAGAACTAGAATAAGTCCTTTGCTTTCATAAAGACAGAGAAAATGAAGGGAAAAAGCAGTGAGTGGTGTGCAGGCGAATATGGTTTGCTATTTGTCTTTTAAAGGTCAACTAATACCCATTAAAAATGAAAACAAAAGCAAAACAGTTATGACTTACCCACCTGACACATTCACCTGGATGTCATCTTGATTTCAAAATGAGCATGAGCTGTTTCTCACCCTTAAAAAAAAAGAGCTTATTGGGAATTATATTCCTTAAAATATACATGTGGGGCCTGAATATCAACCATCTTCACTATGAAGTGGATTATGGTTTCATGAATGGCCATGCTTTGAAGATCAGTTGTTGATGCCTACTATGTGGTAGGCCTTAATGATTATGAGGATTAAAAAGATGAATAAACATGTCTAGTTTGGGAAATGGATATATAAAAAATTAAGTGCAATAAAGTGTGTGCCCAAAAGTTGACATTGTGGAAAGGATGTTGTTCTTTGGGGATTTATCAAAGATGGGAGTAGGAGAGAAGGACACCTCCCTGAAGATAGGTTGCCTAAGGAATAGTGAGCTTCCTACTGCTTTACTTTTTGCTTTCTTGTCCTAGAATTACTCCATGTTTGAGTTAACAATTTACCTTTCAAGTATTTTAGGATTGCTCTTCAGGGAGAGAAGCTGGGCTTCCGCCTGGAACCAGGCAGGGGCCAATTGATCATCTCTACCCTTGGGGAAGCATTACAGTGTGGTAAAGTGTATGGGCTTTGGAGTCATCTTAGCCAGATTTGACCTCTCCAAGCTATACTACCTGTTAGCTCAATAGAATTCAGACACCTGACTTAATTTCCATTTTCTCATCTATAAAATGGAGATAATCTCTGGAAAACAATGCCATTTGTTGTGAGGATTAAGTAAAACAAGATAAAGCATTTGCCTCGTGCCTGGAACATAATTTACACTCAATAAGTGGTTGCAATTGTTTTCTTCACTTAGTAAGGCAGTATTGGGCTGGTGTCTTGCTGGATCCTTGAATCCTTGAGAAGTTTTCAAAGCACTGGCTGTCCTGGCACAAGAAGTGTAGTCCAGAAAAATCCCCTAAATGATTTGTACGATGGTCCAGAGTACAATTTGGAAAACTACCATTAACAGCTAGGCAGAAGCAGGTACTGTGCGTCACACAAATATTTGATTTAAAATGTAATTGGTGATGTTTTATGGAGTGACTTGGGAAGAGTAGCCCAATGTGACTGATAATAGAGGTACAATAAACTTTAGTTGAAAATATATGAACAGTAGTGCCAAGATGCACTGAAATAGTTCATTAATTAGGAAGTGTGACCTTGAGCAGAGGAAAAATAACCAGTAATCAGCAGCAGTCCCATTGAACAAAATTTTTTCATTAACTTTAGGTCCAATGGGCAAAACCTTAAAAGCAATAGTTCCGTCAGCAATGGCTGCAATACTGAAGTGATAGGAAGTAAAAGACTGATTTTCTTCCCTACATCTATAGCTTTATGCAGATGATGGCTGTCATCATCTTTGTATATACAATGAGGATAAATGGAATTAAAACTAGAAGTAATCTTAATGTTTTTATCTTAATGATTACTTCTCTTGGAAACCATTTTCTATCTTGTTTATGCTTGAAACAACCACCACTTCTCTCCATGGAGTTATTTAAAGTGTTTTGTAATTCTGTTTAGTCTCCATTCCAAACACTTAAACAGTATTTACACATGTTAAAATTCTAAGTGTTTGGGGGAAAAAATACCAATAGCAAATGGAAGTGAGCAAAAGAAAGAAATAATGAAAGGAACATGATTTCTCAGTGAGCAAATGAGAAAGAATGTGATCTAGACTGGAGAACCAAGGAATGCTTCCTTGAGGAAGTGACGCTTGAACTGATATAGAATCTAAGTGGGCTTGAGGTGATGGTGGTGAACATTTTAGGTGAGAGAAAAGAACTTCTAAGCCTTAGAATCTAAGGGCTCTGGTGCCAGAGGTAGAGGTTGAAGCAGTTCTAGAAAGTAAGAGATAAAATCCATCCTGATAATGCATGTAGAACCGGCAGAGCTTTGGAAAGGATCCTATGGGAAACTAGAGTAAGATTAAAAAATGTAAGTACGTGTTTGGGATACCAGAAAAGCCCTGTGAACGTGAATAAAATCGAGCTTTAACTAACTGGAATCTTAAAATAAAAGCATTTAAATAAAAATGATATAAATTGAGCTTGTGTTAAGTTTTATGTCATTTAGAAATTTTTATTTTGCATTACATAGGTGGAGGAATGGGTTACCTAAACCGAATTTCAGTGCTTAGGATTTTTTTTTCGGTGTCTTCATTTTGACAAGTCGGCTCCAAAATGTGATTTGTTTTAGGTGCCCCAGGTAGTTAGTTACAGATCTAGGCCTAAAATTCATGACTCCTGGCGTAGCACCCTCTCCCTTTTAAGAATGAAGTTACTTCTAGAAAAATAAATCCAAGGTAATTATGCCGGGGCTCTAGATAAGGCCTGGTGAGAAGCTGTTTGAGAACTATAAATGCCTGGTGACAAGAAGTATCCTTTAAGTTGCAAACGCGCACCGTGACGTTACCATGGTTACTACGAAACCTAAGCAAAGAGCCATACCACTGTTCCTGCCAGAAAAGTCCCGCCCCACGACCTAAAGGCCAATGGTGTGCACCGTAACGCTGGTCTCCGTAGGAAGAACAGCCCTTCAGCCAATGGAGCGCGTCGTCTCTATAGTTCCCGCCGGAAGAACGCCTTGGCGTCTCTGCGGCTGGCGCGGTTGCTATGACGCCCGGGACTGAAGGCACCTGCCCCTCGTTGCGGAGCGTCTGTGGAGCAAAACGACCCGGGACCCTCAACGCACCGTCAGAAGACAATTTCCGGCCTGCTTTCTGAGGTTCCCGCCGCAGCCCCGAGGAGGAAAGCACCTGTTCTCCGCTCTTTTCCACCACGCCAGGTCTTTCCCGCCTCTCTCCCCAGTATGGCTCGAAACTACAGGAGCAAAGCCTCTCCCTGGCTCGGCCTTTCTAGCCATGGGCTTGAGTGATTCTGTCTTAGGATTCTTAAGTCTCTGGGACCCAAAAGTCACGGGCACTTAGAATTAGGGTGCCGCTCTTATTTAGAGAGGGCTTAGAACACCCCCAGTTAGGTAGGCGTTCCATTTCTCACTTTTCAGGCAAAGATTCTGAAGCTCGCGGCCATTTATTAACAAAGTCCACCGAGCCACGGCTTTCCCGGGTTGTGAACAAAGAACTGCCGTTTTCTACTTTGTTGCCCTGTGTTCGCCACGCAGAACCTTAATTCCCGTTGGAGCTCTGGAGGCCTTTTGTATCCTCAACATCAGACATCATCAAGTCAGTTAACCTTCTGCCTTTCAAGCTACAATCTCACCTACTTCTCTCATCACCCTGAGCGCCAGTTTTCTCATACTGCTCCTTCCATGGCCATTTTCACCCTTTCTTGTCCACGCTGCACCTCACTGCGTGCCCATTCATCTCCACCACCTCTGTCATCTACAGACCCTCTCCTGTTTGTCTGCCATAGTTCTTTGGGTAGCTAAATATTTCACGTTCTCCAGCCCAGGAATCATTTGGAAGATTTTCTCTGTTTCACTATGGAAAGCTTTTTGTCTTGGGTAAACTAGAGACTAGAAGCGCACATTGGTCAATACAAATAGTAATTACTACAAGCCTAGTGTGTTTTGAAAATAGAGAGGGAAAAATCAAAATGCAGTTTGGGGGTCCATCTCAGACTTATATAAAGAAAGATTGTTCCTTGTTTAAGTGAATGCTTCATTGGGCATATATTTTAGTGATGTATTCATGCATGTGACAAGATCATTCAGAATGATCATGTAACAGGATTCCAACTTTAAGCCATATGAACCCAACACCTCGATATGATAGAATTTTTGGAAAGAAGATGCTTGAAACAGTTCTTATGGCTCCTCTTCATGTCAGTTTCTTGATCAGAAAACATTCTTTGTGAGGTGAGCCAAGAAACAAAAACAATGAGGAGGAATGATTGAAAATAAATATTTTTGGCAAGAGGCAGACTTAATAATCCTAAAAAGACTGGAACAGAAGGCCTTAAAAATAGAATAAGATTCATTTATATCCAATGCATTTGTGTTTTACCTTGGAAAACTTTGTCTTAAAGTATGTGTTCCTTATCGAGTCTTACCATTTCTTTGGCATTCAGATTAAAAGTGTAAACCTATTTTGAAGATATGTAAAGTGTACATTTTTAACAGGTATTTTGGGGCTAGAATGGTTTGGATATTTTTATTTCTCAGGCCGATTACAGCAGTTATTTGTGATATCTCATGCTTGATGCCAGGTCAGGTTTCCAAATACTGACTGAGAAATTCAGCTTTCTCTTCAATAATAGATTGGAAAAGAAAAACAAGTTCTGTAGCCTCTTCATTTTTTTGCATTAAATGAGAACTGAATAAATTCTAACTCTTGAAAAAAAGGGCTGTTAGATATTGTATTATAAGGAGCTTTCCTTTCCCCATCCAATATGTATATACTGAACAAATATCATTATGGCCGTGTAAACATAATTAAAATTTTTTTCTCTCACCCTAGTACAGTAGTTCCAAACTTGTAGGGCAGTTTTTCCTCCCAGGAGACATTTGGTAACATAAAGAGACATTTGTAGTTGTCACAACTGGAGATATGCTACTGGGACCTAGTTGATAGAGGACAAGGATGCTGCGACACATCCCGCACAATAAAGAATTCGCCAGCCCAAGATGTGAGTAGTGCCAAGGCTGAGAAACCCTGTCCTAACATGTCAGCAGTTCATTTTTTGTTATGTCAGCCCTTGCTCATGCATGTATATTTTTACATAGTTATTAGTATAGTGTGCATTATGCCGTAATTTTTTGCTTAATTTTATATTTTAAGCATTAATACATTGTTTTTTTACTTTAAAATTATTTTTCTCATTTGAGAATTGAAAAGGAAAAGACTGTGTATGATATATAGTCTGTAAGATGTCTATACATTTTTAAAATATATTTGTGTAGAAGGAAGAAAGAAGGATTAGGGTGAATAACCTCACTGGATATTTCCCTTTTTTGTGGCCATGCTATTTACTTTGTTCTCTGTGTCACTCAAAAGACCAAAGCTCATCCTTTGCTCAAAGCCAAGAGATGCGTTGTAGTATGAAGCATGGTCCTGGCTTCTGGAGGGCACCTGCTATAGGAGAAATAAGAACAAGTAGGAACGACTCTTCACCCACTCTCCTTGCTCTCTTCTCACTTAAAATTCTGTCTCAGTTTTCTTTGACAGCTTTACCACCTCATTCTTTACATCTAGAAGTTTCTGAATGCCCCCAAACACTATAGGATGTGCTTCTTTTCAAAGAGTGGACTTTTAAGATACTTAATGAGCACTTATTCAGTATCTACTTTGTAGAGAATAGTATATTTGCATACTTTGTTATGTGGGCAATTTTAGACACAGTTTAAATGTCAGAGCATTTATAATTCAAAGACTGAATTTGTATTACCTCAAGATCTGATTTTTTAGGATTTTCCATTTACTCAACCATTGGGCCTCAATAAGTCCACTGGAAAAAATATTAGTTCTGAGATGTCATAGCAGAACAGTCAAAGGTATGCAAATATTCAGAGTCATGGGAATATAAGCAGCATGATGGGGATCCATAAGTATACTGCATGAGGAGCTAATGTCAGCTGTGGCAGAAGATAAGACTGGAGAGACAGGCAGGAGTCAGATTGTGAAGAACCTCTGGTGCCAAGTTAAGGGGTTTGAATCTTCCTGAAAGCAAAGGGAATGTTAAGCAGCAAGTGACTTGCATTCAGAAAGATCAGTCTGAGAGCTCTGTGGAATACAGATTGGATGGGAGCCAGCCTGGCAACAGGGAAATCAGTTAAGGCTGCTATTACACTAAACTGGGCAAATAGTGAGGAGAGCCTAAATGAAGACAGCAATTGTAGACATGGAGAGGATGAATTAGAAGATGAAAAAAGAGATTAAATCTACAAATTCAGGGACTGGCTGTACATGAGAGTGATATAAATAAATAAGCAGGAGGGACCAAGAATTTCTGGCTTTGGAAACCATGCTGATGGTGGTTTTATTAACTATGGAAAGCAGAAGGAGGAACAGGTGTAAGAGAAAGAATGGATTATTCAAACTGAGTTGTTCTCTAGACAATGGATATGCATTGGTCTTAAATAGTTGACTAATTTTATATTGCGTTCCTAGCCTGCATTCTCCTTCTGAAACTTGTGCCTCTCCACGAATCCTTGCGTTGTGGCAAGGATTTGTACTACTACTTCCAACCCTTTTCAGCCACAACTGACTGAGGATTAGGCAGCTAACTTCAGAGAGGGGGTCACAAATTCATTGGGTGAGCAACTAAAATTTTTCTCTTTTTCATAAATTTGAACTAAGAGAAAAAGAATGGAAATGACAATCTGAAAAGTCACATAGATTTAGGATCTGAATGGCTGTTTTCATTGTTGCAGAGGAGCAAGCAGAGAAAATCCAGCCTTATAGAGAAGCAATTTAATAAGGCTGGTTCACGGAAAGACCCAGAGATGAAGGACCTCATAGATCAAGATAGACTAGTAATGTCTGTCCAGTTCCATATCCAGTTCCAATGTAGCCATGTTTAGTTTGCAGCATGTACCCTTGTATCTTATTCTTTTGGTAGTTGAGATTGGTTGGCTGTGAGGGACAGAAATATCAAAAATAATAATGACTTTTAAAAGGTAGAAATTTATTTCTCTCACATAAAAGTCAAGAAGAGAGCAGTCCAGAGCTGATAGGACAGCATCTTGGAATAGTTCAAGATTCAGATTTCTTCTCTCATGAGAGTGTTTCATCAGGGCATGTGGCGTCCCCTCATGGTGTCCAGGATGGCTGCTCAAGCTTCAGGCATCTTGTCTGCATTCCAGCCAGTAGAAAGGAGGAAGGAGTGAGAAAGAGGGTATCCTGTTCCTTTAAGTACACTCCTAGAGGTGTCACACAACTGTATTTACATCTCATTGGTCAGAATTTAGTTATAAGGCTGTATCTAAGAGTAAGGCAGGCAGCTGTGTGATTGGACAGAAAATTATATGTCTTTGTGGAAAAGGGGATGAATAAATATTGAAGGACAGCTGGCAGTCTCTGCCACATGCACTTGTATTTGTTCTAACTTCAGTGTGTTTCTGTTTCTTGCCACTTTTTCTAGATAGAT